CCCTGAGGAGTAGCCATGCCTATCAAATTTGACCAGCACAGATAGGTAGAAATTTCACTTGACTTTGGTGTCAAACAGAATGTAAAAATCCCATTGCATTTGGGTTAGAAAGAAATTGAGATTTAAGACAGGGAAGAGGGGAAAGCAGATTTGTCCACCTTCTAATTAGACTTTTGCAGCTATTGACATCTTACACACTGGAATTAAATAGGCTGACTTTGAACCCTGTAATTTTTTGCGATTGCTCAGGTCCATCCTTTCTCAGGTCAACCCCTGGTGGATTTCCTCAGTCTGCAAGTACATTCAAGAAAATAATATAAAAGATGGCAATATTCTGGCATTGATACCTGGAAGGCATGTCTCACTCAAAACTGGGGTGAGGATTTCTGACCATGCAGGACTGCATAAGCTTGTTCCTCAGCAGTTTTTCATGGTTAAAAGAGACTGGCACACTTGAAAGAAAGATCTTGTGAATCAGCTGTGGTGGGCCCTCAGAGAGACTGGGCCCTCAGAGAGACTGGGCCCTCTGCCCCACGATGCTGAACATTTTACTTTTTCTATGGCTGCAGCTGACTCCAACTGAAGGCAAGGGCCATTCTGATATATGTGCCACAGATGACACTTTCCAGTTTCCACACAATTATTATCAGACAGGAAACCTAATTGTTGGGATGATCACTTCTCAGTTCGGCTGTGCATTCCATGAAGTATTTTTCCATGACCACCCTAAAACAAACTTTGTAGATGAACTTTTGTAAGAAAATGATTTCCACCTCCCATTATGTATTAAGCTCATATCCGGAGCATGTATGTCATATATGCAATGACATGTTTAGAAAATTGTCTAAAATACCTTTGTTTTCTTTTCCTTTTAGATTTGCATCCTTTTGACAGTATAAATATTTGCTTTTCTCCATTCTCTCTCTCTCTCTCCCCCTCTCCCTCTCCCCTGCTCTGAATGACATTACAAGGTGTTAATGTAGGTCAAGACTCCCTCTTTTTGACACCATCCTCCCTCTAAGTGTCATTTTCTATCTCTCTGAATCTCTTCCTGTTGCACCAGAACTTTCTCCTCCTGTTTTGTCAGTCACAGCAAGTGAGGTAACCTATATTGATTGGTTTTTGATTAATTGGGTGTATTTTAACTTACCTAAAGGGTCCGCTCTTCTGAAGTCTCCATCATAATTGTATATAATGCAGAAAATCTTACAGACTTTCTTGGAAGATGAAACACCTGAATAACACCTGTATTAGCGTGGTTATAGGGCAGATATGAGCAGATTCCTTGGAAGTGTGCTATCCTTTTCTAGTTTGTACCAGCGATCAAAAAGTCAGCATATTCACTTGCAATCATTTTACACTTGTCAGCTGGTGAGCGGTCGGTTGTAAGTAAAGCATGAGAGATCCTTTGGTTGCTTAATAGGGTTATAGGAGAACTTTAGGGGTGAAAAGCTACTGGGCTTTTCCAGCTCAGATAGTGGGATTTGGTCCCATTCAGCAGACACTTCTCTGAATACTTGTCAGGTAAGGCTTTTCCTTTTGGACCCTGAAAATGCACATCTGCACATTGTCATGTACTGACTGTTTGCCGGCAATTTGCACAGATTGCACAGTATATTTGACTGGGGAACCCATGGAAGCACCAGAATCTTGTGATTGTGTTTGTGTGTATGTGTGTGTGTGCGTGCGCATTCGTGTGCACTGTATGTAATCATTTGCAGCTGGCTGAAAGATCAATGCTGCAAAATGCTGCATCGCATGTTCCTGAAAAGGTAGACAGCAGGGGATGACCATATCTTTAACTTCTTTGTTAGCACAATCTTGAAGTACTACCAGCACCTTCTCTCCTTGGTGTTTGCTGTGAAGGAGATCAACCAGAATCCCTCAATCTTAATGAACAGCAGCCTCGGTTTCTCCATCTATGAAAGCTACGCAGATGAAAGGATGACCCACCAAAACACACTGAAACTTCTCACCACCACAGAATGGATTGTCCCCAACTTCAAATGTGGCAAGAAGAAAAGTGTTGTAGCTGTTATAGGAGGACTTCACTCTGAGATCTCACTTCAAATAGCTAGCATCTTGGGCATGTATAAGATTCCACAGGTAGAGTGAGCTTGTGGGTCACAACTAATTCAGATAGAATAATTGTGTTTTGCCTTATTTTTATGAGACCGAAAGTGAGCAAATGACTGTGATAAATCTATTACCTAATGGATGACTCTCACACTCTCTTGAAGGAAGCTCATGGGAAGCTGTGGACTTTTTCTCTATGGCGTAGAAAGGGGGTGCGTGGAGGCTTCTCTGAATTGATGACAGCAATGTACCCCAGTGTTGTTGCTTCCATTTCAGGGAGTTCACCAATCTGGCTAGTTGTTGGGCAGTGCTTCAAAGAAGGAATTTCTGACCTGCAGGTTCTCCTAGCCCAGTCCTATAAGATCTCCTATAAGATCTCTTGGTGGTATTTGGCCATTTCTGCTTCTCATAGTGAATGCACTGTGTTGGCCAAAGAGAAGGGCTTGTGTATCTCCAATGTGAATACATTCCAGAATAATGCAATGTATGTTTGGACAAAAGCAACAGGGACAGCAATTTCAGGGACATCAGGTTGCCCAGAAATGCTAAGAGGTGTCGGCCCCCAACCTCCAGCTGATGATGGATAACATTGGATTTTGACAAGATTCTAACTCTTGATTTCAGCGTAGCAGATAATAGTAATGAGATATACTATGGTAGTATAGCTTTCTGAATTACTTTATGAAATTTTTAGGTGGCTTATTGTATATTGTCTCCATTGATGAGTGCTGAATTGCAGCTTCCCTTCTTCTATCGGATGGTTCCCAACGAACTCTATCAGTATGAAGGCATTTTGCATCTCCTCCTGCATTTCCAGTGGTCCTGGGTTGGAATCATTGCATCAGACAATGAAAATGGAGTGCAGTTTCTGCGAGTCTTAATACCAATGCTTTCCCAGAAAGGGATCTGCACTGCTTTCACTGAAAAAATGCCAGCCATATCTCATGCTACAGAAATGTTGAGCTTGGGTTTAGAACTTCTCCGGGCCAAAGTCTTCCCGCTAAACAACTCAAAAGTCAAAGTATTGGTTATCAATGCAAAACCTCAGACAATGGCATGTTTCACCTGGATGGTGTATTTCTATTCAATAATAGAAGACATTTCAATGGCTTCTATAGGTAAAGTGGGACTGCAGGTGGAGCAGTGGTTTAAACCGCTGTTCTGCTGGGCTGGTTGATCAAAAAGGTCACCCGTTTGAATCTGCACACTGGAGTGAGTTCCCATTGCTCTGTCCCAGCTCCTGCCAACCTTGCAGTTCGAAAGCATGAAAATGCAAGTAGATAAAAAGGTACCACTTTGGTCGGCAGGTATCAGCGTTCTGTGCACTTCGGTGTTTAGTCATGCCGGCCACATGACCACAGAGACTGTCTGTGGACAAACGCTGGCTCCCTCAGCTAGGAAACAGAGATGAACACCTCCACCTAGAGTCAGGCATGACTGGACTTAATGTCAAGGGGAAACCTTTACCTTTACCTTTACCTTATAGGTAAAGTATGGATTCTGACAGCACAATGGGACTTCTCAAGGCAGACAATGCAGAAGCATTTTGATATACAAGACTTCCACGGTGCTTTATCTTTTCAAATCCACGTAAATGATGTGCCTGGATTTCAAGAATTCCTGCATCTTCTGAACCCTCACTTGCCCACAGATGATGGCTTTCTCAGGGGCTTCTGGGAAGAAGCATTTGACTGCACTTTTTCTGCTTCTAATGTGAGGAATGGAATCAGTGTGCCTTGCACAGGGAAAGAGGAGCTGCAAAGTCTCCCCAGCACTCTCTTTGAACTCAGCATGACTGGCCAAAGCTACAGCATCTATAATGCGGTCCATGCCATAGCACACGCTCTGCAAAAGATGCGCTCAGCTAGGGCAAAGCACAGAGGAATGCTGAACAGAGAGAAATCAGATCTTCCAGATCTCCAGCCTTGGCAGGTAACCTTTGCATTAAAAAGTATTCCCTTGTAGCTCAGAAACGTTTACACTTTAAACTCTGCACTTTCCTATAAACATTTTCATCTCTATCATTCCAAAATATCTTCAGCTGTCTGTGTCTATGAAGCTATGAATTATGGCAGGGGAAAAAAACAAAGATCAAAAGTTTGATCAACCAGGAAGTCTTGAGATAACAAACTGAGAACACAAGCTGCATAATGTGCATAAATGAATAAGGAAAGAGTAACATCTTGTATCTTTCAGGATCAACCCATTTAAGTTGCTCTTTGAGTGACATGATACCTGATAAGTTTCATAAAATCTTCAGAGCAATGTTTTTAAATGGTTGGAATATATGATACAAATGTGTTTCTATTCCAAGACAGCACAGTCATATTGGATGGGAGTTTTCTGTGTTATATAGGAAATAGTGCATGGAAACGTCTGCATAGCACTGTGCTTATTTTTCCCCAAAATGCATGCATTAGTTGTGAGCTTTCTTTATAGCAAACCTACTTCATAGCAAACATCTCCAGAGATCTAATGATTGTCTTGGTTTTCTTTAAGCTGATCAGTTCAGGAGCTAATTTCATGTGCTTGGACTTTAGGAGCAGACTACACAGTTCTGTTTGGCAGAGTTTCTGGTTCATGCTTGTGTTTTCAACTTGATACGTAACTGTTGCATTCATAGCTTCATGTACTGGTCAATTTTATGCCCTTCAGCTAAAGAGGTACTTGCAATTTCCTGGCAAGCAGGGAAGGGGTTTCTTCTTCTTCAATGGGGTTCTTCCATCAATTAATTCCTGTTTTATCCAGATTCCACCAAGGAAGAGAAGACAATTTACTAGGGCAGGAATCAGAGCTGGAGAGATCAGATTGCAGTATCATACACCTTAGCTAGTATTTCTGAGTATTACTTTTCGAGATCAAAAATAATTAGCCACTACTATATCTGTTGGTTATTTCTGTCTGCTTTTGCTTCTTCTATCCAGCTTCACCCTTTCCTAAGGAGCATCTCATTTAATAACAGTGCTGGGGACTTGGTGTCTCTTGATGAGAGAGGTGAATTAGCAGCTGGATTTGATCTCATCAACTGGGTTACTTTCCCAAACCAGTCCTTTTTAAGAGTGAAAGTAGGAGGGGTGGATCCACAGGCTGTATCAGGTCAAGAGTTTACCATCAACAAGGAGGCCATCACGTGGCACAGAGCTTTTCATCAGGTGAGAAGAAATTATTGCTTGCAGCAAGTCTCTTAGTATTCACTCTGCATAATACTTCTGGTCCTGCTGGACATTAAAAAAAAGCATACAAACAAACCAAAAAACCTCTAAAAAACAAAACAGCTTCCTCTTAATACCCTAGAATGTTTGCTCCTTATTGAACTATTTTGAACCGCTGCCTTCACTTAACACCTTATCAAACAACTGCCCTTCATCTGTTCTCCTTTTCTTCCCTATTCTGAGATATTAACATCCGTCCTGTCATTATCCCAACTTTTTTAATAAGGGAGAAACCACTGTGCATAACAGTGATGGACTAGAATTAATCAGATGCATGAGCTGTTATTGCACTCCAGCTTGATGCTTTCCAGGTTTTTTGGAGTTCAACTCTTATCAGCCACAGGGAGCACTCTCAGTCATCAGTGATCCTGAGTATGGAGGGTGCTAATTAAGCAATAAAAAATTCCCTGTCTATTCAAAAACAAGCATACTTATCATTACAGCTCCTCCCCTCCCCTCCTTTTTAACAATAACGCACTTTCCTAGCCTGCTGTTCTACATATGTTTTTGACTCTGCCCTTTTCTTACAGGTTCTGCCCATTGCAAGATGCAATGACAACTGTCCTTCAGGTTCCCAAAGAAAAAAGAAAGAAGGGCATCCATTTTGTTGCTATGTTTGTACTCCATGTCCAACTGAGATGATTTCAGATAAGAAGGGTAGGTCCCAAAGCAGGCAGTGCCATGTGTGATATGTCACATCAGTTTTCACTATCACCTGTACTGTCATAGAAACTGAGTGAGTCAGAATGGGTCTCCTTGGCCATTTAGTCTGACTCTTGGTTCCAGCCAAGTCCACTCATGGCATGTCTGCCATGTGCATATCTAGCCTATCCTTGAGGCTTCAACCACCTTCTGAGGAAGTTCATTCATACCCTAGTGATCCTAACTGTCAGGAAGTACTTCCTGGCATCCAAATTGAACCATGTTTTCCTGAGCTTTGCTGTATTGGAACCCATCCTACCCTCCTCTGCAGGGGAGAACAGGTCTCTGCCCAACTCCATGTGACACCCACTCACATACTTATCTGTCACCAACAGATCCCCTCAGAGTGTCCTCTTCTCCAGGCTGAAAAGACTCTGTTCCCTCAGTCTTGCCTCATACAGCTTTCCCTGCAACCTGACCACCATCCTTGTGACCCTACACTGCACTGATTATAAATTGGCTATATTCTTCCTATAATGTGGAGCCCAGAACTGAACACAATACTGTTGTTGCGGGCATGTGAGATTCATATAGAGTGGTAATAATACCTCTTTCAATCTAGAAGCCACGCTTTTGGCTTTGCAGCCAAAGGTGGTATTTGCCCTCTTGACCACCGCACCACACTGCTTACCCATGTTTAGCTTGCAGTCAAGCAATACCCTGAGAACCCTTTCACAAGTGCTGCTCTCCAGCCACTTGTCACCTAACCTGTACTTATGACACCCATTTATATCCCCAAGTGCAAGACCTTGCACTTATCCACATCGAACGCCAGCCTCTTGTCCCCTGCCCACTTCCATAGTCTGTCCAGATCCTTTTGGATCTGGAGTACCTGCTCCTCAGTTGTGGCCACTGCCCACATTTTAGTATCATCTGTGAATTTTATCAGTAGACTGGTCACCCTTTCTTAAAGGTCATTGATGACAGAGCCCTGAGGGACCCCGCTCGTCACTGACCACAATCCCGTTGATTCCCCACTAATAGATACTCTCTGCTTTCTGTCCTTCAACCATGTGCTAATCCGTTGGACAGTACATTGGTCTATCCCAAAGCTCCTCAATTTCTCAACCAGTATATCTTACAGCACTTTGTCAAAGACCTTGCTCAAATCCAATTAAACCACATCCCCTCTGTCTAGCCACCTCAAAAGGATGATCACCCACTTCCATCTCTTTGGGGTGGTGGCAGATGGCTGTGTCTTGGCCCTCACCTCTCCTTCAGCACCCCCCGGCCACAACTTATGCTCCACCTGAGTGCAGGCCAGCTGTGGTTGTTCTAAAGACCCCAAATTGGTAGACTTACCTTAAACATGAATGTTCCCTTTGCACACCTAGCATTATTTCTCAGAAATTCCACAGTAACACACTTGGATTCCACCACAGATGATTGCTTTCATGATTCCCATTCATTACATGCTATGCATCTTCAAAAATCCCCCCGTGACTGGCAACTACTTTCAAAAACATATTGTGCATTTGTCAAGGCATTTTCCAGGCAGAAGGAAAAGACTGGCTCTAAGTACGTCATAGGATGATTTGAGTCAGCATATGCCTGAGCCCATGACCATGAGGTTTGACATATGTTTCCTCTGATTTTCAGATATGGATGATTGCTCCTACTGCCCAGAAGAGGAATTTCCAAACAGTGAGCAAGACCACTGCATTCCCAAGAGCCTCAGTTTCCTCTCTTTCTCTGAGCCTTTGGGGATGACTTTCACTTTCTTGGCACTCTCCTTTGCTCTTCTCACAGCTTTGGTGCTAGCTGCATTCATTAAGAAAAGAAACACTCCAATTATTAAAGCCAACAACCGGGACCTCACCTACTC